CCCCTCATATTTCCATCTTTCCAAATATTACAAGTTCACAAACTATCCCAGTGAGTAGCTGTAGCTGTAAAAGGTCGTCCAGTGCTTTGAAACGTCTGCACACCTGGATGAGAAGCAAAATGTTGATAAACTAAACTACAGCATCTTGCAGTGCTTTCGATGGAGAATATCATCATTGACAAAACAGGAGGTATATACTGATGCTTCCTGAATAATTTTTAAGTAAACATGCTATATATATATGTAAACAAAGTATAATATTTAAAAGTATGATGTCCAATTATGTGTTTTTACAGAATCATTTTACGTTTGTAGCTGTACAGTTACTAGGTCACTGTTTAAACTTGCTTATCATACTGTATAGCTTGTTTCATTTTAACAGTGTAGTTCAATACAACATTGATACATCACTTTATTTTGTGTTCTGCAAATTGTTGAAATACATAATTATTCTCGGGGGTGGCCAATGGGCCCGAGCCCCCATCTTTTAAGCACCTAGCGACGCCTCTGGAGTTGACCAATCTTGGCATGCTAACTTAGTATTCTAAAAGCAAACCAAGTTCATATTAAACTATTCCATATATTGAAAAATAAAAATATTTTACAAAATAACCAGTATATCGCTACTGCAGTAGCTATTGTAAATAGTTGAGTTTGAACAAAACTCATGCTACAACAAAATTCTACAAGTCAAAGACCGTAAATAAAATTTTCAGTATTTTGACTTGTTTTCCATAATAAACAAAATATACAGTAATAAAGTATCCAGCTACAATGCAGAGAATAGAGAAATTCTTTATGTTTAAGTTTCCAGCTCTTTTCTGATTCCTACCATTTAATTTCCGGTTTATAATAGAGTTAGAATAAGCGCTTAAGCCTGACTTAAAGAAGTATAAGTATTTCATAATTAGCTGATTTTTAGGACATTACTCACTCCTTGACGTAGAATATAGTTTTTCGTAGAAGCAAAATTCAAAATTATTATTAAATTTAATGCACTAAATGTACCAAATTAAGACAGTAGAAATCTTGACCAGATCTCTACTGTGAAATGGGCTGCTTTGAACAAGAAGTGACGCAACTGCTTTTTCATTGCTGTCAAGTTTCTCGATTCGACTGCTACACCTCACACAGGGTCCAATTACCCTGTTTTAAAACAATTTTCTTGGAGAATGAACGTTACTGAAAATTCTCTCACTAATCCATTAGTAAAAGAGAGACTGATCGTATGTTTAGCATTGTATCAACGTATTTGGTTATATCATTGTCCCGTGTTTTATAGTTGTTTATCCAAATAATGATAAAACAAAGTTGTTTACTCACAAATTTTAAAGCTAAATAAGCAGCTCGGTTGCTGTTAAAAGTACAGATATATTTGTCACTTTAAAATATGATAAATAACAATATCTAAAACTTTAGACATGATCGATCAATCATATTTCCAAAGATAATAAATTATCCTTCAGTGAATTCTCTTATTAGAACAAAACTATCAAGAAATTAACCACCATCACGTTCCTCAATAGAATAATGAGAAAAATTAACTTCACAAAGTTCAACATAGGCACAATTATTGACAAGTAATCAAACTTATTTTTTTACACAGATTAACAGCTTACAATATTCTGTATTACTTGATGCTGATAAATATTATTTGTTACAGCTTTTACAAAATAAATAAGAGCTGGATTACAAAAAAATTTTCATCAAATATTTTTTTTACTACTTTCTTATATCCACTCTTCAGATATGATTGTCTCTATTGTATCTTTTTTAAAAACATAAATGCAAGAAGCTGGGTTTTTCACAGCCTTCATAAACACATTTTATTTAAAAAAAGTCTAGAGCTGGGGATATATATATATTTACTGATTTAATAGTTTGAAGTTGTTCTTTTAATACATAGCTACAAAATGAGCTGTCTGAACTCTGTACATCATAGGAAGTCACACACCTAGGATTTTAGTGTTGTAAACCCATACATTTACTGCTGACCCACCAATAAGAAATAAAAAGTAAATTTTACAAAGAATATTAGAAGTGAGAGAATAAATCTTCTACTACTTAACTCCAAGATAAAAACAAATTGCTTAGTGAAGTTAATAGAAATGCACAAAAAATGGTATTTCATGTTAATATATACTAACAGGTATCATAAACATTAAATAGAAATAAGTATAGTAGGTTATCATTTTACCACAGAAACTCACTATATTTAAATTTAATAAAATTTTGTTTTTAATCTGGGACCACAGTCTTTTATTTTCTACAGTATCCAATTTTATTTGCAAAATATGAAGAAATAAGCATTGGAACTTTGAACCTGAACAGCACCTTATGAGTATATTGGAAAAATTACTAAGTCACTTTCACAGACATTCAAGTACAGCCATTCCTAATTTTATAATTACTGGCCAGAGGGAGCTAGCAGCATCTACTGCCATAAGGGTTTTATCCAAATCTTTGAACTGGGTAATGGGATTAACTGCTATTTTTATAATACACAAACAAGTTGAAAGAAGTGTGTGTTCAGTGGCATTGTCCGGAACTAGGAGCCCTTTAACCCACATCCCACTAAACATTAGGCTATGCCTGATCAAAATAGAAGGAAATACTATTAAAAAACAAAGCAGAAACCTTTTCAAATTCATAACAAAATTTAAACAAACTGGTTAAGATGTATTTTCTAAAGTTAACATGAATTTTATGTCAATAGCAAACAGTCTTGAAGAAAAATAAAATGACTATCCTCATCTTTTGAGTATTTTAAATATTTTTCAAATTATTATGTATCAGATGACAATCAGTTTAGAATGATTAAGAGTTCTAAAATAAATTTCAATCTGAAATACTGCATAAAAATAACTTGGCAAACTAAATGAAACATTGTGTACCAACACTTTGTATCATAATTACATTAATCTACAGAGTTTGTTATTTATTACAGGAAAAATCTAGTTTCTGTCAAGTCCAAGTATTCCCAAAAATTTATTTCAGGAAAGATAATGTAAAAATGTAAGATGATAATAGTGAGTAAATTTATTAAATTAACTTACTAAAATTTTATTAAAATATTTTGAAACAATTAATAAATATTTATTTTAAGACATGGAAAATTGTTCCAATTGAAAGAAAGACATTTTATTTTTTAGATAAGTTAACCACTTTTCCTCATAAGGTTACATAATAGGAATTATCAGTTTTTTTTTTTCAGTACAAAGCTACACAATAGCTTATCTATATTCTGTCCACTGTGTGGAGCTGCTGAACCATGAATTTTAGCACTGCAAGTCTATAAACTTAGGACTGACCCACTGGGGGACAGAAACAAATATTACATAAATATATATATATATTAATAGTGAAGCATGAGACAGGATCAATAATTACAGACTAGACAACACTTGTGTATCCAAATTCTAGCATTTCATGATTTTTTAAAAATAATCCAACTTTTTTGCTCACTTTTTGAGGCATACTTTCAATTCCTTTATTTATTTTGGTTCAGGGGTTATGTATAAGCCCTGATGATGGCTAACATTAATGTTTCATGAGTTATTCTCACTTCTGGGGCTAAATAACCTTTAATTATTGTGCTTGAGGGGTGTGTAAACATAACCCAATTTATAAAACCTAAGTAGATAAAAGTTACAAAGGTTTATCTTCACCTGTAATTAAAATACAAATTATTCAGAATGCCCAGCATTTTTCTTTTAATATCTATAGAATTTTCTGCCAAATATATAAGACATTTACAGTACATTAATGTTAAACTCACCTTATACTACATTTGATCAAAAACAACGCTAATATTAACTAATTCAAACAATCAATTCAAGTAATTTTTTCTTCAAAGCAATCTTTGGAATAAATATAACAAAAATATTTTTATTACAACTTGGATATGGACCTGTCTTTCAATACTTCAAATATATTAATGTGATGTCTATACAAAACAAATCACTGTATTCCAACTAAACTAACATATAATTGTTTGCTAACTTTTTCTTTTATGACGGGTAAAAACAATGCAAGATGACAAAGTAAGGGATGAACCTTCTTTCAAATATGTCCCTATTTCATATCCATCTAATTAAGTATGAAGTATGATCATGTTTGAACAAAAAACGTAGATAATGTAGCTGTCATGGTGAAATTAGTCCTACATTGTTACTCAATCACTTTCTTAGTATTACACACACACAACTATTTCAAAATTGATCATATCCAGAACATTTTCAAACATTTTTGGAGGTTGTTTTCAAAAACTTAATATTTTGAAAACATGATATATACAGGACACTACAGGTTAATTAAGCACTCTGACCATGGCACTAGTGTTAATATACTACAGTTAGTCTAAAGAAATTTATATATTACATCAAAATTGTTCTATTCTTATGCTTAACCATTAGAATTCACAAACAAAATTCCTTGTATGTGTCAAAATCATTATTTGTGAGCTGCACAAGTTTATTTTTACTACATTACACAAAAAAAAAGATTAATGTTGCTCACTTTCTCACCAGTTATAAAAATATATATAGTTTTTAACTTGTTATTAAATCCCTTTTAAGTTTTTACTTTGATGATCTGAAGAGTGCAGCAGTACTAACATTATGGCTCTTATATAAACATCAATTTCATTGAAATATTAGTGAAATTCAGATAAAAATTATATAAAAATACAATGGGGAAGAAAAAAAGATGCAAAATATACTACTTCTTGTTTAATTTACTAATAGGTTGGTTCTACTACAACTTTATCAACTGATATGCAGGTTTACTCGTGCTGCAGTGATACTTATTGATATCTAACATTTTCCATGCAACTATCATGACGTTAATGAATAATACCAAGTCACATTTGAAGATCACAAAAATATAAAGTTATGAAAGGGAGATAAAAGAAATATTAATTGAATTTTTTTGCATATACCTGCTTTATCAAATGGTAAAAATGTCTCTTGTGATGGAAAAATATCTTTTAACAACAAAAGTCATTTCAAACACTTTTTTTAATAAACAATTGACATCTGCTTTTAGTAGTTTCTATAGTTCAAAACACAGGGTCTTAAACCTCTCTAGAAGACTACAAATTTCTGCAAAAAAAATAATTAAGGTGAAAAAAAAGTTTTATTGCTACATCATATAAATTTATAACTAGTTCTTAAACATCAGGAATTTATGATAATTAGTTTCTGTTTCTTCCCAATTTTACATATTTATATCATTTGAACATATCAGAAAAATTCACAAGCTCCAAATTTAATATCGTACAAGTATTCAGTGAAACAAGTTGATTACTATAATTACAGATGTTCTTGATTTGACATACATGCATATATTATATATATTTAAACAGATAAAAAGAAAAAGTCATAATGAAACATTTGATCAATGTTCAACAACAATGTTATTCTCAAAAACCATGTACCATAAAAAATTTGATTCAACAAGAATTACATTCTATTACATACTGAAAATTTGATGACTATTCGATCTAACAGAACAAATAAAAATTGCAAAAATACCTGTCTACCAGGTATATTAATTTGTCATGGATAATTTAATACACAAGCAACATTTACTAAATTTCAACATAGATTTCATAAACTATTTTACACAGTTTACTTCATTGAACTATACACAATTTATACTAGAATTGTCTTTGTATCTGAGAACCAATCCCTTACTAATTTTAGCACTGATATTTTATGGCCAAGAAAACTGATAACAAGTAGTTTCAGTAAACTAACATGTGGCCTATGATTTCAAACATTTCAAAGTTAATAAATTAAGCCTAATATGCAACAGAATACAATATACTTAAAAGAAAGTTCATTATGTCACAATACATTCCTTGAAAAGTAAAAAAAAAAATGAAATTAATTCTCAGAACTTGCAGCACATCATCATTTCACATGAAGAAAATTATAATCTGTTGATTTTCATCTCTGTTGACCTCCTTGCTTCAAATGCCAAAGTTCAAGAGCCTTGTTTACTACTCTGTCTGCAGTGTCCTCAGGCACCTGTGAATGTTTTACAGTTTTCAAAAATTTAAGAAAAATTAAATCAGTAAAATCACAAAGATATGACCTTTAAGCATCAACACCTGAAAGTTTCAACCCATTTTAAAATTAACATGTCAGTATTCTCTTATCAACTCCAAAATAAATTCTGAGGTCTTTGTTTTCCTTGATAAAATATACTTCAATAAAAAATCTTGCAAAATATATTTGTGTAATGAATCATAATCTTTGATACGCTTAAAGACTGTCTTGTAACAAATGAATAGATAAAATAAATTTTGTCCAGTGATTGAGGAAATTTACAAAGCAGCAAGTACAAAATCCATTATATGAAATATTTTTCTAAGGGTCTGTCGTATAAAAGATTTTGGTATATGGATTACATGAGGAATTAAAATAAAAGATGTGGGATGGAATGCAAGTTTGTGTTTTTAGATTTATGCTATCATTATGCTGTAAGTACACAGGAAATCTTAAGAGGCAAAGCTTAGGTTCTCCATCTTGCAAGTGGGTAGGAAATCTTAACAGGCAAAACTCAGGTTCGTAAGTATGTAGGAAATGTTAACAGGTAGAGTTCAGGTTTCCAAATTTGTAAGTATGCAGAAAATTTTAACAGACAGAGCTCAGGTTCTCAAGTATGTAAGAAATCTTAATGGGCAGACTTCATATTTTCAATGATTTCTGTTGATCCCAGTAAATACCAAAGTAAAGAATCAGGGCTTACATCATCAAGAATTATTGGTGAATACCTAATAATGAGTTATTTTGAATTGTTAATTAAGTCATTTCAAAAAGCATAAGATAGATTCTAGCAGCAGCATATAGTGCAAGGCTACTTGATACAGTAGTGTTTTCATTAAGAAATGAGATATTTAATGATTTATTATCTTTTGAAAAAATCACATGCAAAATCCTTTAACAAATCACCCCCCAATATAATGTAAAGTGCTAACCTTATTAACAAAAGAATTACAATTGCCAAGTAATCAAAGATGCACGATACATAAAGATACCGTACTTCCTTTAGACCAATAACAAAGCCTCTACACAGTTAAAAACATTTTTTAGTTCTTACTTATTTTTTTCTTCACAAACTCACACCAAAATCAGTCATCATTACAAGAGGTGCATTATCACACACACAGACACAATGATGGCATTTCAAGCTTTCCCTACTTCATTAGCTTAGTTATTAAAACAAGTTCAATAAAGACAGAATTAAGTCAAGCCTAAAAGCCATACTGAGTGAAGAGTGAAAACAGGTGTAAGGAAGATGTAGAACTACAGACACAATAAGTGTGTGTGCTAAACTATAGTAGTTTACACTACTAAGGAGCCATAATAAGAACATTACAAATATTGCAGTTGATACAATGTTTTAAAAGAAGTTGCAGGAAAGATGCACACACATATATATATATATCTCACTCAAGAGTACATATCTTATTTACAGCCAGATCCATGTTGATGGCCAGTATAGAAATGGTTTGAGGGATCTATGCAGAGATAAGAGTAACCACTGAACATCCTAAGATTTTCTATAAAATTCTGAATAGTTCTGGATAAAGACCAAGCTTTTATTTATTGAAATAATATATATAGAATAAAGAATGAATTCAAAGGCATTTTTAAAGGAATAGTGAATACAAGAAGCTTTTTTTATATAAAAATTAAGATATAAAACTTTTACTTATTTATTATTTTGTAATATATGCTATAATAGTTGAGGTATTGCAATGCAGAAAAGAGCAAAACCTTGTTCGTGACCTAAATCTCTTTCAGTTTGAAGAAGTTAATTTGATTCAAATATGTAAGATGTAAAATAATCTTGAATAATATAATATCATTCAAATTGTCAGACATATCTTGATTGTTTTAGGATACCTGTGTTCTGCCCACTAAAGGTACTGAAACCTGATTTTTAGCATCATAAGCCACCACCAGACTTCCTGTTCAGTCACCGAGGAGCACATCTCTTGATCAAAATACTCTGTACTTGGGTAAAACTCCACTACTACCAAGTTAAACTAAACCTAAACAAATCTTAAGCCTTTTGTACCATATTCCCAGATCTAGCAATAGAAGAATAAGAAATAGTCCATTTTCTGTTCTACAAAAGAACAAAACAGGATTTCATTAAAGAGCAGAAAGGAACAAAATTTTAAGAAGCATAATTACTACTGCAGTTAATAATGAACAGGGAAACTGTTATGTAACTAGATATTCTGAACAAACCTGGAACCAAAACTTTCAATAATACCTGACCACAAGCATAGTTTTCCACCTTATAGCAGGGGAAACTAAGTCTCAATACAGTAAAAGAGAGAGAGAGAGAAGGTTCAAGAGACTATGATTCTTAAGTTGGTGGTAAAAAAATAAAGGAGAGAGTAATATAAAATAATGAGTGAAGCAGGGAGAAACAGAACAACTGAAAAATTTGGAAAGATTTATCATCTCAGGTTGGGTGAAAAAAAAGTCACTGTTAGGGAAAATGAAAAACGTATAACACGAAATCAAACTGCAAGTTATAAAACATATATTTATGACTAGTCAAAAGAGTAAATGCAAAAGAAGTTATAAAAGTTCCATTATTCATCAGACCAGATACAAACTTCATACAGATATATACAAAGTAACAGAAAGATTAAAAGTTTTGCCACTCAAAAGTGAAATATAAAAACAGACAGAAACTCCTAAGTGCAGATAGAACATTAATGAGACTGAAATATGTACATAAAAGTCTATAGAGGGTTAAATATTTAAACTTCATGATACAAATACCTAATAAAAAACTCACGTTAGCAAACTTGTGGTAGCTCAGTTATATGTTTTATTTCGCACAGTAAGAGACATAAAGTAATGATGTACAACAGTATGCGTAATGGTCTAAGTGTGGTAATTGGTTTGATAACAATACAAAGACAACAAATTAGAAATTATACAATGTATTCAATTGTTATTTTTTTGTATATAGGTTAGATACGCAAAATATATTAATGAGTTAATATTTTGCCCAAAACATAGTAGTATTTAAAATACATAATTAAATTGAAAAAGTAGCATATTCAAGAAAACCGATAAATACCCCAGAAATAAAAAACATGCGGCACAAATTATGATTATTTTAGTAAAGGTAACATTTGTGTAAATTGATCAAATTCATAAGACACAAAAGACATATTCATCAAACTTAAAAACTGCTTGAAAAGTACTGTAAGAGCTGTTCTACATTATATACAATTTTCCTCAAAAACAAAAAAAAATTAAACTGAAAAACAATGCAGTTTGTAAAAAGGACTAAATGGACAGTTATCTTTTAGGTATACTTGTAAAATCACACAAAATCCTAGTGTAAGATAACTGGGCAGATTTAACTGAACACTACCTTTGAGAAATAATAAACATTTTTCAATAGGTATTTGAAGTTTGTTTACTAACAAAATCTAGGTAAAGTTTGGCATTACCTAATAAAATAATTAAAACTTTATGTAATCGTTTTTGTTAATAATGATATAATTTCCTTTACATTATTTTAAAACAAGATGTTTTACTGAATTTAACTGAATTAGGTCCCTTAATTGTTTTTTCTGAATGAATATCTTATATTTGAAATAATAAAAGAGGAAAGGGTTTGGTCAGTATCTTCATTTTTAATGCTATCACTCATCCTACTATTTAGTAAGTAAATAATGGAATACTTTAAATGTCTTAAAATTAGTTCAAAAGTAGGAAGTAGAAGCATATCTAATCCATTACGTGTCATTAAAAATGTAAGAGCAATATCTGACAATTGATATTTAAAAAAGTATGAATCACTTTATGTTCATCTAAAAAAGAAATTAAAAACAATGTAAAATTGTAGATATTTTTTTTTACATTTTTCTTAATTTGTATATTTTTGGATTTTAAATCAGAGGTATATATAAAATTCAAAATGTAGGGTTATTAGCTTCTGATGTTTTCCAAGCTTTTGGCATTTAAACTGTAACTTTGAAAAATATAAATCCATCTGAAAATGGTGGAGGATAAAAAAACAAGCCAAAATTCTTCTCTAGCTCAAACAGTAGTTATTTTATGAACAGCAAAATAAAGCAACTTAATATTGCTCAAGTTGTATTATTTTATTCACATGCTGTGAATTTAGTTTTGTTCTTAATTCACCTAAAAATCATTACTAAGTTACACTGAAAAATTTTGATGTGGTGAATTAATTAAATTTCATGAGATTACCTACTGTTTGAGGTAAAGCAGAATTTAGGTTTTTCTCTCACTGAAGCATTTTTGGATGGATTTCATGTATTGTTTTGTGTGTTACATCAGCCCAAAACACTTGCACTGTAACCATACTGTTGTCGTGGTAGATGAAGATTGAATTCTCTGCTTCATGCTGCTAGCACTAGTATCAGTATAGACTGTTAAATTTGTGAGAGATAAAGTAAGAATCTGCTTGGAGTGATTGATAGGTATTTGCATTGAAAGTACTCAGTTCAGAATTTGCTTTTACACTTAGAGTGCTTACTCTTTGGAGTTTCTTCCACTAGCTGTGAATAACAGCAAAATACAGGATATTTTGGAAACCATTTTAAAGCAGATTTTACATTTTGTCAATCAAACCTGGCCAAAGTATGCAGTCTGAATTTTTCTCTTCACATTTATGCTACAATTAAAATGAACACTTGCACCAATTTTACTTTTATTGCTAGACAAAGGTTGGGGTACTGAAAATTTTGAAATTTTCTGGAAAACTTCATGTGAACCTAGAACCAAAAGTAGGCAAAGCTAATATGTAAAATTTTGCAGACTCATTCAAGATGTGAATAATGTTCAGAATAGAACAAAAATTTGTTTTTAATTCTGGAGAAAAGTATTAAGCATTTATTAGTGACACTGGTTTTTGCCAGCAAAGGCATCATCAGGTACAGTTTAGTTTGGTTTTAAATTTTGTGCAAAGCTATATGAGGGCTATCTGCGCTAGTGGGATTGACCATCACATTATAATACCTCCACGGCTGAAAGGGCAAGCATGTTTGGTGGAAGGGAGTTAGGTACAGACTGAAATGGTTAGTAATAGGCTTGTATATAGTTTAACCTTGAGACAAATGGTGAGGAGCTTAAGTTGGTTTGGTCATTTAGAGCTTCTTCTGGATTTATTTATAGACTTCTGTTTATTTCTAAACTTTCCAGGCTATTTAGTTTTTTACCTTTTCTCAGATATGTAAAATTTTGCAGTTTTTCCTGGATCAAATTAGTGTTTAATTTCAATAAGGAGGGTTCAAAAGGTTGAATCCATTTTCCCTAATTTTCAGCTTCTAATATTAAGCATTTATATTTTATGTATAATGAGCAAATTATGTAAACAGAAGAGACTACAGTAATTTTGTTTCTAGTTTCCCTTTTGTATTTTAGGTACAAAACAACTTAAAAAAAATTATAAGTAGAAAGTATTGATCTAGGTCATTTTTCAAGCTTTTACTGTTATATATTTCATTTTCACTTTAATGTCTTAATATAATTTTTAAAATACATAAAATTCTTTAAATTATTTTGCAATATCTAAACAGTTTTGTTCCATATTCATTTAATACTGAATTTCATCTTTAAAAAATCTTACTTGAACAATTTTTCTTTTGTAATTATAAATTTGAAATTTAAAATTGTAGCATAATTTTTTTACTTTCATTCTTTCAAAATTTAACTTGCATTAAAAATATTTAGTTTACTAATTTTAATTAATTTTCAAAAGTTTATAAATTATTTGTTCAAAAGAGTATCACCCACACATACATATTACATGTCTGAGATCTCACTAAGAAAAGCAAAGACAAGTATTAATCATTTTGATTATGTACTCTACCTTTATATTAACAATAAAATTTTTTCTATGTTCTTTCAGTAATTAAGTGAATGCTCTAACCTTTTTGATATACTTGATAACTTCTTCACTATTATCCATTGCCAAAAGTGTTCGCCTGAGAGTAATTAGCATTGCTGCACCAACAAAGGCTAAGATGGCAGAGGAACTTCCAATGACTTTATCCCATATCCTTCAGTGGAAAATTAACACAAAAAACTACAATATCTAAGGGACTTTAGGTCCATTTTGCTTCAACGTATAGTAAACTTAATTAATTTAAGTATGTGCAATAATGTTATGACATTTCATCAGATTCATTATTCAATTTATACAGCAAAACTTATATATATATGTTAAAGATTTCAGTATAATGTAAGAAAAGTTTATAATTTTTAAAAATATCAAGCATCTTAAAGGGGGGGGGGGAATGTGTGGACATTATAATTTCAGATTTTATTGAGTAACTATTCACAAACT